ACACACACACACACACACACACACACACACACACACACCTTAAACAAGAGAGAGAAAACAAACAATCTTTGAAGAATTTCTGAAACTGTTTACAAGGAATTTTGAAAAACAGGGATGTTTAAATGATGCCGGCTCTGTTTTTCTGTAAATAAATTTGCATATTTTGTAGGACTTTTAATTGTAATGATAGAGAAAAAACAAGGAAAACTATTTAATGAAAGCACGATATTTATCTTTGGTAAATGACTTTAGAGCAGTTAAAGACATTGCTTAAAAAACTCAGAATCAGAAAAACACTGAATTATTTAAGAACACATATATTTTAAAGTATAACATATTTATTATAATTTATTTGCACCCTTGGGAAGACTTGCTTTGCATTCTGTCTCAAGAGCTTCTCATTGATGTCCATCTGGAGGCCAGAGGGGTCTTGGAACTACCATTTTTTTTTTTTCCTTTAGAACAACAAAATTCTGGTTGCTCTCAGGCCTCCTACCTTTTCTTTTGGTCTATTTTGTTGTTGTTTTACTTCATTTGGTTTTTTTTTTCTTTCTTTTTCTTGACTCCTCCTTTTAGGATGTCCAGATGTTGTTAAAAAAAAAAAAGCAGCTGCAGTTCAATACAACTGCTCTTTTCACACTGACTCCCTAAAACTCCTTGTAACCTTCTGTAACTATTGGATGACGCTTTCTCCAGCTTAGCCCTAAATAAAGCACAGTTTAAAAAAAAAAAAAAACTCAAAGAGTCCTTATTGCTCTGTGCTTCTCAGGTTCTTTTCAGTTATGCTTCAAGGCTTCAAGGTCTGTCCAGAGCCTTTCTCTTCCTAGGACCTGACATACAGGTCCTCAGTGTGACATCAGCAGTGTGTGGGAACAATAAAAGCCAGGCCTGTTCACTCTAAGAAAACCCCAACTGGCATACCTCTGTCTCCATTGCAAATCCATTTTGGTATGGGCTTCCTGAGGAGAGCTGGTCACAAGGCCTAGGCATAAATATCACAGTCCTTTTTTCTTTCTGACAAAAGGAAAGGAAGTCTGTCTGACCTGAAGATGGACCTAGAGTTGGGTGACGTCATGTCTTAGGGGAGAAGAAAATGGAGAGAGGGGACACAGTCCCAGCTCTGCCACTTAAGCCTATTGCTCTTGGCCCTGCACTCAACAGGACAGTTTGCCTAGATAGAGAAAACAAGAGTGTGACCCTTGGAGTCCCTGTCCCAGGAGGAGTGTCTAGGAAGAGGAGCTGGAATCTTGCTCTGGGAAGCCTCTTATAAGTGCTTTCTGTTGTGGCAATCCCAAACCCACTTAAGCCTGTGCGAAAACATACAACTCAGTTATAATATTTATAAACTGCACTTCTGGATTGGCAGAGGTACCCTACACTACTCCATTCCCCAGTTACGAGATCCCTTGCTACTAGCGGCTTCTCTAGGCCATGTGGTTCTGCTCCATCCTCCTTCCGCCTCCTCTTCCTCTGTCTTCTTCCTACCTCGTTCCCTACTCTCCCTCACTCTCTGAAACCTCCAACCCCACAGTTCCCTTCCACTGCCCAAACACAGGCTCTAGACTTTATTTGACCAGTTAAAATGGGGAGAAGGTTCATGTGAAATCACCTGAAAATGTGATCTACTTCTCTTTGGGGGAACTCCTCTTGAGGAAGCAGAGTTAACATCAGAATACAAACAGCACCAGGACAACCCACAACAGCTTTCCACCGTACTTAGACATGACATAAGCTTTAAATACCTTAGGTGCCTTGGGAACAGATGAATAATGTCCCAAATGAGAAAGGACAAGAAACAGGGTTTGCTGGAGACCAGGGGTAGGACTCCTGGGGAACATCTTTGATAGAGGAATACCAGCCACATGTTTTTCAGGACCTTCCTGAGAGAAGCCTTCTCCATGTTCCCTCTCTTTCCTACCTTAGTTCTTTCTCAACAAGCAACCCTGAAATTTGGTCTAGGGATGGGCAGGATCTAAGAGCTTACCACTGTCTATAGCTAGGAATATAGATTAAAGTGTCTGCAGGAGGGCTGGGGAGCAGGAGGCCATTCATCGTTTTGGAGTATGGCTCATTGCTTCAGTACTGCTTGGCTTCTCCAAGTGTGGTGACCACAGCGATAAGAATAACTGCAGAGCAATCCCTGGCACATGTGGACCAATCCTCTTCCCACTTTTCCTACTGGTGCCAAGCACCCATCCCATGTGTCTTATCCAGGCCCTGGAAGTGTCAGTTAGAAAAAAAAAAAAAAGAGTCCTCCATGTAGCAGCAAGTATGGACAGAGCTTTAAAGCTGTGACTCCACTGTGGGGTCGTTCTGAGAGTAGACTACTGTCCCTAAATTAATCCATACACCCAGGTCTTCCCAACAGCATGTGGACCCAAGGGAAAGCCAGCTCTGCCCGTCCCATAAGCCAGACGTCTTGGAAGAGTTAACTTCCAGTAGCTGCATGCCGGATACTTAGAAGAGTAGGAAGGTATTTTCTAAAAATTCTCTGGGGAATGATAGGGTTTATAGGTTTTGAGGCTTGCACCATGTTAAACTCTGGTTTCTGTAGGATACTAAGAGCTGAAATACATCATACCAGCTAGAGAAAGCCAATGTCAGCTGATAGTTATTCTCAGGCCTCAGGGTACTTAACCACACCATTTAATCTTTTGTATTTACTTCCTACTTCTGTCACCCTTGTGTCTGGGATACTGGCCTGCCCTGTTGCCACAGAGGTGCTCTGGTTTAGGACTGTGGGGCCCCTTGGAGTTGCCACCAGAGAAGGGCTGAGATGCTTGTGAGCCACTTCTGCCTCTTCAAGACATGTCCATCACCAGAGCCACAGTGTAAGCGTGCCAGTTGTATAAAATAAACCCTGGGCGGCAAGACTACACACCAAGCAACTGCTGTGTGTTCAGTATATTTAGCATAGAATGCAATCTATTAACATCCAAAGCAAGGTACAGAGTCCTTGAAAGCTTGCTCTGCACTTCCCCATTATGTTCCATAAGGTTACAGAGAGCTATGGCTTACTCATTCTCCCCAACGAAGCACCTTTGATCTAGAGAGAATTAAGATAGTCCAGGTGAAACCTACACCGATTTCTGTTTTTTTGTCCTTTAGCTTATAAGTCTCCACTGCTATCCCTCCTGAAGTGTGGGCTATCACTTAATAGAGCCTCTATCTATAAGAGTCAGTCAATTCATTACTACAAACCTTCTATTTCTAGCATAACTCCAAACAAAGATAGCTACACCCTGCTCCTTACATGCCCACCCCCAGCTTCCTCTCCTATCAACGTATGAGTCTGTTTGACGCATGTAGCAGATGCAAGGAACTTCATTGGTTCATGCTTTGCTTCTCCCACTTTACACTGTGTTGAGGTCTAACAGCTGGTAAGAACTTGGCCAACATGGTCTCTGCATGGCCATCCTACAGGGTGTGCCTGCCTTCAGGTATGACCCTAAGTCCATCTCCAACATCATTTCAGTGACTGGGCATGCCCAAGGTCTTGCAAAGTCCTTTCAGAAATTCATCTACTCTTGTGACTTTTCAGCCTTTTCCTCCTTCCCACCCCTGCACACATCTTCTCATCTCCCTTCTTAATGCTGCCAATAGAAAAATAATATTGAGACCTTTCGTTAGCTTCCTTCCTGTCTCCTAGATTTTATAAAGATCTGGCTTTTGACCCATTTTTCCTCAGCCTTTCCACATTCAGAGCACAGGTACAGTGGGACACAACATGACAGAGCCTATCTCTGAGCAGTGTTGCACCATCTCCATCTCCCAGTGAGTACTAGTAGTGACGGGGGAACTTGGCACTCCTCTACAGATCCTTCTGGTGTAGGGGCTTTAGTGAATCAGCCTGAATCTACAATCTACCTGCCTGCCTGTCTGCCTGGTAAGGTGGATAAAGGGATATGTGGGAATTGAGCTCAGCTCAGCCCAAGGCAACGGCATCAGACTTGACCATGAATGCCACTTGGCCATTTCCCAGAATAGAATCTCTCCTCAAACACAAATTATTAGCTGCCATTGATGTATCACCTTCAATAGACTATTAACTTCTGGCTGTTAGATTTGTCATCACTTCTGAGTCACTCTGCCTGCAAGGACAAATTATAGATCACTGGGGTTTGTTCCAAAGAGATACATGTTTGAAAGTGTCTCTTAAGTAGTGCTAATGACATGTGTGGAGTAAGTTGCATAGCTAACATACTCCTCCCACTGGGTTTTTGGGCTTCAGTTCTTTGCTTTAAACTCCCATCCATCATCATAAGCCACCTACCCTCTTCCCTTCAAATTCCTACCACTCTGCCTCCTGCCTCCGGTCCCCAGCACTCCCAGCTGCCACAGACCTGTCTAAACTAGCTCCTGCTCTCCAGA